AAGGCTCTCTCAAAAGCCCACAAAATCAGAGCACAAAACAGTTAACCACCATCACTGAAAAGGATATGTGAGCTGATGAATTTTTAAAGGCCCATTGATTCTCGAGATAAATTGGCCTTAAATGAAAGCTATGTGTCAGGTTCCTCTCCTGCAAAACACTTTGGCAGGGTGCCTGCAGAGAATCACCCAGCCTGTGTTTCGGGTCACTGGCCTGATGTTTAGCAAGGAAATGGAAGCCATGACAAAGCCAGCTGGAAGCCTGTACACCATGATGAAACCACACGATAGCAAAGGTACCTCCAGAGCAGCTTCTGCACAACACGTCTCAAGGGTCCCTTACCTCAGGACTGCTGCAAACAGGATGTTGAAGCTGGTTTTGATGTGTTTGTCACAAAAAGCAGAAACCATGTCACTGATTGTGTTTGCTGATTCCCTTGGCAGAAAAGTATTTGATGCAAATGACAAAATAAGAGCTGTTAAAAGAGCCTGTGAGGTTTTCTCTGTATGTGAAACTTTAAAACTTCACAGTACTAATACAGCAATGTTAAGAGGGCATTACAGAGTCAGTTAACGTTACTTCGAATTTCTGCAAAGTTTGGCAATGACTGTTTATGTCCATTTAGGGTTCACCTCTAAGGGACTGCAGGGGAGCGTAAGTACAAAGCAGTATGAAAATGTGACCACAAATCTGTTTCTGACTTGGTGTGTTCATCCAGCCAGAGACTAAAGGCTGTACACCAAGTCAAAATAGGAAGAACTGTGAATATCAGAATTTTTCAGGAGTGGCTTCTCATCACAGTTCGATCAAAAACCATTAGCAGAAATTCAGCAAACAGGTGCAAAATAAATGTGAGAGAAAACTACAAACAGCTTATAAAAAATGAAGAGTGCTTATTAGTTCTAGTCACATGAGTAAAGATAGTGTCCCACATTTTTATTTTGATTACAAGTATTTATGGAACCAAAATACTGCACATTGATATTTCTTTATGTACAAGCAATATTGATGACTGAATATTGCACAGAGAACGCATGAATAGTAGCTGTTTGTACCGATAACTTGAAGGACAATTTTCATCTCATTGTCTACTCTTAAACTGTTGAGCCTTCAAAAGTGAAAGCAGAGACCTGGTGGATAAAAAATTCCTTCTGGATTTTCCATGATGCTGTATACTCCTATAAAAATCTGTGCTTCTTTTTTCATTTTGAAATTCACCATGTTTTGTATATTCATTTTTAATATATTCTCACAAATGAAGTAGTAATTTAAATTTCACTGCTATTTTATTTGTGGATTTTATTTTCAGCTGGGGTCCATACAGAGTTGCATTGTCATGTCAGAAGTAATGAATCAATGACTTCCAGCAAATGAGGTTACAGTTTGGAAAGTTTACTGAACAGCTCATTTTAGAAGGCATTTACAGGGAAGTGCTACTTAAATGCTTTAAAGAAAGCTTCATTGTCAGAAACTAGACACTATATATGTGCTCAGTTAAGTACCTAAATCCAGTTGATTTCACTTGGCAAAGCAACAACAAGTGTCTTTGAAAATCTGGCCCCTAGACCTTTAAGGTACCCAAGCTTTTGACGATCCATGCTTGAACATCAGATTAACAGGATTTAGGAATCCGTATGCTTCAGCTAGCTTTCAAAAGTCTCAACTTTTAAGTTTTCTAAGTCTCAACTTCCATGAAGCAGTAGTGGGAATTCTCTTCTCCCACCCTTTTTGTGTCAATTCGATGTAGATCGGTCACTGACACAAAGACTGTGTATTAGTGAGCATATGACAATCTTAATTGTAGTGGGCTGCCAATTCTGGTATCACAAAAATACACAAAACTTTGTGTAAGGTCAAGAAATTAAACTCACTGGACATTTATTAGAGGTATAATGGTCTTAAACTTTTGTATTCTCATAGGGAAAAAGAACAAAAAGTGGAAGGGAGAAGAGGGAAAGGAATCAAAGTAGTCATTGACAAATGGCAGTCAGTATATTAATGGACAGATTTATTTTTTAATGATATTTTTGCAGTCTTTAGCAGTGCCCACAGATTTAAGAACACATGATGATGCACAGGCACGTTAATTTTTAAAAGCAGTTGTGCAGATTTGACCTAGCTCTGCATCTCCAAGAGAACCAGATTGTAGCAGAGGCTGCAGAGAAACCACAGAGCACATCAGTTTTACCACAGTACAGCATGAAGTAATTTGCCATGGAGCATTACTGGCAATTAAAACATTCCAATATTAAACATTCATAGATTATTCAGTGAAAAAAAAGGGCAGGTATAAGCAAAGCAAACGTTGAAATTTGGACAGAGAGATACAGGAAGCAATTAAGCCATGGTCCTTTTCTCTTTTCTTCCCAAAGAGGATCTATACAAGTTCAGAGGAGTTCTGGGCTTCTACCCAAAGCCACTCTGGAACATGTATTAAACCCTAGAATACACACTAAACCCTAGTCACTGATGGCCAGGCTTGTTGCACTCTGGAGTGTTCCCAATGGGAAATCCTTCCTTTCAGAGAGGTGGTCAGTGATCTTCAGCCACGCAGGTACAGGACTGCGAGAGCAGCTGAGACAGCAAGAGGTCCCCTCCTGCGTTAGAACTGGCCACGGAGAGTTGTACCCTCCTGTGTCAGGCTTGTGCTTGGGGCTAAGTGGCTGTATATCTCCATAGCAAAAGCCAATAAAGATGGAGTCCACCACTG